TTTTTGCTCCTCAGAAATACAACCAACTGCCAGAAATGTAAAAAACTTGGTTATAAAGCTTTTCGACTGAACTCCAAAAAATGTCTTTTGTAAATATAAGTTAAGGTATTGTTAGTTAATAAGTCATTTATTGTTATTGTAATATTTCTTTTGTATGTATTGACTTGAGTAGTTTTGAAAAACAGTATTGTTACTGAAAACCGCTTTAAATAAAAGACGTTTCATTATTATTATTATTATATTGTTTATAGACCTGGTAAACTGAATGTAGCTGCTGATTCTCTATCACGAGTGTGCTCGATGAGCGACAAAATGAACAGACTTCATCAATATCATGAAAGAATGTGTCATCCTGGTGAAAATCGTATGTATCATTGGATAAGAAGCAAAAATTTACCATACTCCCTTGATGAGGTAAGAAGAATGACTGCTTCCTGTAAGGTATGTTCTGAAGTAAAACCAAGATTCTTCAAACATGATGGAAAATTAATAAAAGCAACATCACCGTTCGAACGTCTTAGCCTGGATTTTAAGGGTCCTCTTCCCTCTTCTACAAGAAATCGGTATATGCTAACAATCATTGATGAGTACCTACTCACGATTTCCATTTGCGTACCCCTGTCCTGATATGTCCTCTTCAACTGTTATTTGCAAACTGAAACAGTTATTTTCATTGTTTGGTACTCCTAGCTACATTCACTCCGATCAGGGATCTTCTTTTCTTTCAAAAGAACTAAAGGAGTTTCTCGCTTTAAACGACATTGCTTCTAGTCGGACTACTGCTTACAACCCTCAGTGTAATGGCCAGGTTGAGAGGTATAATGGTATAATCTGGAGAACAGTAGAACTTGCCCTTAAGAACTATCAACTTGACGTGACAAAGTGGGAATTAGTTCTGGATGAAGCTCTTCACTCTATCCGATCCTTGCTTTGTACTGCCACGAATTGTACGCCACATGAACGAATGTTTGGACATCCCAGAAGATCACAAAATGGTGTTTCCACACCAACCTGGTTGATGACTCCTGGAAAAGTGTTGATGAGACGTCCTATCAGAAACTCTAAGTATGAACCAATAGTGCAGGAGGTGACGTTGCTGGAAGGAAACTCTGATTACGCTCATGTACGATTGCCAGATGGGCGTGAAAGAACAGTGTCTACACGCAACTTAGCTCCTTGTGGAAAACAAGCTGAGAGAACAGATTTTGATGATGGATCAACACCGGAGAACCACACAATGGAACTTAATAGCGATGTAAACTTAGAAGACGACACCCAGGATGTGTCTCATCCCGATGCAGAGGTGATAGAAGAATCTGCAACTCAAGAGCCTCTACAAACCTTAAGGACTGATGAAACCCAATCACAGAGACGAAGCTCAAGACAGAAGAAACTACCTTCTCACCTTAAAGACTTTAAATTATATTAGCGGGGAAGAATGTGATAGAAAATATTCCCAGCTGTTGTTGGACATTGTTATTTTATTTGTTTATGTTTAATGTTTGTAATCATTATTTCATTCTCTAGATTTAACTCTTACTTATGAATTCCATTACTTGAATTGTGTTAAATAAAGCCTACTCATTCAAGGCAAACAATCTTTATTCTTTAACATATCATAATGCCTATAAATGTTTCTTCCTTTCACCTAAAAAAAAGAGGTTTTACTATATCATTTATGGTCTCAAATGAAACTCAATGAACAGAATTCAACTCTTACATATAATTATAGTTTTAACATTAAATAAGCCTAGCAAACATTTCATGAGGTTAAATGTACTGGAGGATTTATGGCATTTTTTTGTTCAACGTCCACCTTAATGCGTTCAATATTCAATTCAGATATGACTGAGAAACAGTGTTGTTGATAGTACCAGTTGTTTACCAGATTGATATTATAGTACGGTAGTAGATAGTAATATGCCGACCCTAAACCAAAAAAGGAAGACTTCAATAATTAAATGAAATTTGTTGTTTTTCAATACTAATATGTAAAATTGTTGCCTCTTTTAAGCCGCGTTTACACCGGAGTTAATAACACGTGTTTTTAACAAAAAGTTATTAACATAACAGAATCGCCCAAAAAATTATCTTAACAAAAGTTAATAACTCGTGTTTTTAACAGAAAATTCCTTGTTATTAACAAGATTTATGTTATCCATCAAGAGTCGGTAAAGATCAAAAGAAACGTGTTATGTTTTTAACAAATGTTAATAACAAAAGTTAATGGTCTCTTTTAGCGCGTTAACTTTTGTTAATAACAGGTCCCTCTCTTTTCCCCGCAACCCCCGTGCCCAGCATCGTCCTACAGAGAGCGCGCTAGTCGGCCCTCAGTACCAACTGCAGCAGACGAAACACGTGGAATCAAATCAAATCAAATCATTTATAAGCCAGAATTAACAAAATGTTGTACAATTTGTATTGGCTAAGTCATCATTAAATAAAAGTTAGCTTATATATACTTAAGAACTATTTACAGAGGTCTTATACAGTACTTAAAGTTATACAGTTTTATATACATATCTAGGCTAGATCACTATTCATCGAGCTGATTTTATTTACAAATTCTTGGACGCTGTAACAGGTAAACTTTATCAACAAAGATTTTAATTGTTTTATGAATTTTAACAGGTTTGGTTCAAGTTTAAGAGGAAGTGGAAGTGAATTAAAAAGTGTTAGGCCATTGCACAGTAAGTGCTTCTTGAAAAATGTTGTTGAATGTTTAGGAATTGGTAATGTATGTGAATTGCGCAATGTGTATTGGTTTTTACAGAAAAGTCAAATTTAGAAAATTTTTGTCTCTCAAACTTTAAAGATTCAAGAATGTAAATAGATAGGAATGTCAAAGTTTATGAATTGAAAAAAAATATTTACGGCATGATTTGCGCCTTTTTAGAGAAAAAGTTTAAACAACAATTTAGTCTGCTGGCACTCGCAACCCCAAATAGGAACGGCGTATGCTAAGTGAGGATAAATTAGCCCATAGTATGCCGTCAACAATATCTCCAGATTCTCATTGTTCCTGAGGTTACGCAGAACGAAAATACTAGAACTGAGTTTTTTTAAATGTATTTGATATGGTCATGAAATCTAAGATTCTCGTCTAAGATCAATACAAGGAACTTGACATTTGGTGTAGGGTGGACCTCAGATTCGTCCAGAAGGAGACTAAACCCCATGTTTGATCGGTTTGAATGATTTGATATACGGAAGTTAATGAGCTGTGTTTTGTCTATGTTGATTTTCAATAACCTGGCGGAGTGACTTAATGTTTCTAACATAAATGTTTTTAACAAAAACTGAAGTACAAAATAATTTGTTAACAACTTTCTGCTATTAACTTTTGTTAATAACTGCCGGTTAATAACAAAAGTTAATTAACTTTATGTTATTAACTCCAGTGTAAACGCGGCTTTAGGCCAATTTCTAAAATGTTCATATTTTTCTAGAAAAAGTATACAATTTTGATGAAATTTTCATGAATATGTTTATATTTTCCATAAAATTGACTACAAAACAAAATTTTTTTAAAACAAGTAAAATTCTAAAATTTTGTATTCAAATTTTCTAAATATTTTATTTAAATTATTGTTTTTTGTAAATAATATTTTTCCTATTTGAGTTATTCAAAATCTATTAAAAGTATTGAATTTCTCAGAAAATTCTAATGATATTTGATGTATTACAAGTCCATATTTCATTTTAAATAATTTTAAACTTATACATAAAATAAAAGAAATGTTATCAAAAATGATAATCTTAAGATAAAAAGATAAGTATTGATTTAAATTGAAAATAAATGTCACCAATGAAAAGCTTGTTAAAAATTAATGCTATTTCATATATTATACTTTTCTGTATGATTAAAGATAATGTAAAGATGAATAAAAATAAATTGCGTTGTAAATATAATCTTATTGAAGGAATATTAGTCTATGGCCTAATTTGTTTGGTCGATCTTTTTATGAAAATAAGTGACTAAAATAATAACTAATTGAATGTTAATTAAATGCAGTGTGGATTAAAATAATTATTTTGATTTATTTAAACTAATCGAAAAGTATTGGGCCGTATGCATAAAAAGAAGTAAAACCTTTTACTTGTGAAATTTAGAGCAAAACCTTCACAAGATATGAATAAAAACTAGAGCAAAACCTTTTACTTGGAGTAAGAAGTAAATGAACAGTGATTCAGATCATTTACTCCGAACAGTAGTAAATGAGTATGCATAAAGTCAACCTTTTACTTGTACTGAAAAGCAAATCCTTCAAATCTGATGCATCTACTCAGTCGTAGACTTATCCCTTAACTAAAGGTACATCATGAGCTGTTCTTCTATATGTTTCTGCGTACATGAACGAGTTCTGAGTACTAACTAAGGAAAAACATAAGTAATTTATTGTTTTGACAGTTGATTGCATGCAAGCAAAAATTATAAAAGGTACTGTACCTCTGGTTAATTTTAAGAGCTGAAATCAATGATGGACTGTCCTTCCATCTGATTATTACATTTATAAATATTTGTTTTTGACTAATGTTTTTAGAAAACTACCCCCCCCCCCTACTCTCTCCTCCTTAACCCATCAATCAGATGTATTTGCCGTGCGCGCAGACACTTTATTTTGGACCAACTGTATAAAACTTGATGTTATAACTTTTTGCCTGCCTTGGTCTTTCTGATTAATTGATATAACATATGTGATTATGTAAATATTCACACATGTGTTCAAACAATTAATTAGTTAAAGTAATCAAACCAGCAGATTTTTTCTCAATGACAACATTTTTGCTTAACTTATAAACGGTTATTTTTATTGTAAGTCATGGCAGATTTGGTGAATGTGCGGGAAGTAAAGGTTTATAAACCTCGTTCGAATACACTAACAAAGGACTTTAAAAGTTTGTTTCGTTTTGAAGAAAATAACGTACATTGGCTAGCAAATAATTTTTTGGGAGAGTCAGTTGAATCTCGGGGTGGTGCGCTTACCCCAGTACATAAAATGAAAATATGTCTAAGATATCTGGCTGATCCAGGATTCCAAAAAGGTGTCGGTGAGGAGCTAGGTGTAGATCAAAGCACGGTGTCACCAGTAGTATCGAGTGTTGTGGATAGTGTTGTTGCCCAAGCTGGTTCTTGGATAAAATTTCCAACAACCGAACAAGAAATAGCAGAAGCAAAGGCTTTGTGGCAGAGTAAGCACAGTTTTCCTACTGCTATTGGTGTGGTCGACTGTACCCATGTTTGTATTGAGAAACCTAGAATTCATGGTGACGAATATATAAACAGGAAAGGTAAAGCTTCGCTTAATGTGCAAGGTACATGCAATGCTAGAGAAATGTTTACTAGCATAGACGTAAGTTGGCCTGGATCAGTGCATGACGCTCGTATCTGGAAAAACTCCACTGTTAAACAAGTTCTATCCAACACTCGAAATGCGGTAATGTTAGCTGATGATGGCTATGGAATCGAGCCATGGCTAATGACACCGTACAATGATCCTGATGGTGCAGAACAAAGGAACTTTAACAGACTCCTAACAAAAGAACGCGTGATAATAGAATGCTGTTTCGGGCAACTGAAGCGCCGGTTCCCAATTTTGAAATATGTATGTAGGGTGAAATTGGAAAATACAGGGAGCGGCAGAAATATCTGACGGTTTTCAAGCGAGTACCGTCCGGCAGCCAAGTGGAGGAGGGTGGTGGGGAGCGGCTCATTCTCAAGGCCAAGTGAGACAATTTTAGTCGCCATAGAGCAGTGGACCGGTATACATCGCGCGTTTGTCGTTGAGGCGTATTTTAAAAATGGCGATTTTGTTGTTGATAGCAACGTAAGTTTCGTAGGTATTTTAATGTGGCTCGTGGGGAACCTATCCCATCCCGAAACACCATCAAATTGTGGGTGGATACCTTTAGATCCACAGGATCAACTGCAAAACGTAGGCCTACAGGCCGTCCAAGGTCAGTGAGGACGCCGGAGAACGTGGAGCGAGTGCGACAAACTGTGCTAACGAGCCTGCATCGCCCGGCGCGTGGACAAGCTGCTGCTCATGGCATGTCTGAGCGCTCTATTCGACAAATTTTGCTGAAGTTGTTGGACGATTGCTATTTTATATGGGCGAAAGTGAAGGTCTGAGAGCAAAATTCGTCGAGTAGAGCGCTCAGACATGACATGAGCAGCAGCTTGTCCACGCGCCGGGCGATGCGGGCTCGTTAGCACAGTTTGTCGCACTCGCTCCACGTTCTCCGGCGTCCTCACTGACCTTGGACGGCCTGTAGGCCTACGTTTTGCAGTTGATCCTGTGGATCTAAAGGTATCCACCCACAATTTGATGGTGTTTCGGGATGGGATAGGTTCCCCACGAGCCACATTAAAATACCTACGAAACTTACGTTGCTATCAACAACAAAATCGCCATTTTTAAAATACGCCTCAACTACAAACGAGCGATGTATACCGGTCCACTGCTCTATGGCGACTAAAATTGTCTCACTTGGCCTTGAGAATGAGCCGCTCCCCACCACCCTCCTCCACTTGGCTGCCGGACGGTACTCGCTTGAAAACCGTCAGATATTTCTGCCGCTCCCTGTATTTAAAAAATTATCGTTGCTTGCGTTGTACTTCACAACATAGCAAAACACTTGAATGACCAAGACTTCAACGAACATGCAGAAGAAGATGCTGAAGAGCATATAAATGACATGTTAAATGAAAATAACTTAGGAGTACTTGCAATTCGACGTGCTGGTCAAAGAAAGAGAGATGAACTGGCTGCTGTAATAAACACTTTTTATTGATACATAATAAAGAAACAGAAACAGAATGCTGTATTTACAGATTTACCTACAAGTTGTAGTAACTTTTGTTCCCTGTAACTGTTATCGTATCATGTTTACAATTACACTTCTTTGTTTCCAAATTTTTGAGCTTTTCTTTAAAATACTGTTGTTGAACCTCAGCGGTTTTAAGTTGCTGTAACAGCACTAACCGTTGAAGCTCCCTTTGTGACAAGTTCTGGGTGGTCTCAGTTTCATACTTATCCAGCGGGGTCTTTTTGCGAGGTGGTACAATTTGCATGGATGTATTTGTCGACTCATCAGATCCATTAGAAGTGGTTGCAGTACCACTTGTATCGTATTCACCTTGACTACTTTGACCTTCACTAGGCTTTTTCACACCAAACCGCATGGCCCCTATGCAAATCATTTTAACATTAGTAGGCGTCAATTTTTAATAACCTTATATTTAAGCTATTTTTACAAAAGTTCTAAGTTTTGGATTACCTATATAAGCAAATTTAAAAAAATTGATAGGTTGTCACAACACAATTCATTGATCGGTCAAATAAATTTCTTAAATGTTTTAGTATATTATAAAATAAAGTTAATTTTGTTAATAATGTATGAAGTTGGTTGTTATATGTTTGGATATAAATGTGTATTGTGTACTAGACGTACCTGGAATTCGCGTAATAGTAGGATTTGAATCACACTTCAAGAGCTGCAGCATTTTCTTCTCCCATTCTAAGGTCACAATCTTTTTATTTCCAGTCATATTAGCGTCAGTTTTCTTTTTTAAACGTGTTTTCATGTTGTTTATTTTCTTCATCATTCCTTTTGCATCAATGTCCTTTCCAAACGTGGATTTGTACTTCAAAACCACTTTATTAATGGATTCTTCCTTGAGCTTCTTCATTTTTGGAAGTTGGGACTTTTCCAGTATTTCGGGGTACAAATGTAATTCATTCACCAAAAACGATAACTCACTGTTATAATCTACAGGCAGCACGTCATCCGGATCGTCTTCACTTGATGAAATCATGACTTTATTTACCACAATTAACAAGCAAAGTAATGGCAAGTAAGGTACTTATAATCCCTTTGTTTACAGGAAATCTGTGTTTTATTGTTGTGAGTTGAGAAAAACAACTGATCATCTGTTACTGTTAGATGAATCAGCTGCTACATGGTTAAATCAGTGCACAAAACTAGGCAAAGACCAAGAGAACAAGTTGATAATTTACTTGTGATTTGAAGGATTTACTCGCTAGTAAAAGCAAATCATTATGCATATTATGTGAAGGAAAACCTTTTGCTTCTACCTTTTACTCGAAGCATTTGCTTTTACTTCTACCTTTTCCTTTTGAGCAAATGCTCTTTTTTATGCATACGGCCATTTTATAATTAATGCTTAAAATGTATAACCAATGCTTAAAATCTTATGCTAAATAGTTACTGAATGAAACTAGCCGATTTAACAAAAAAAGTGCCAAGTCATTACATCAGCTAATTTGGGTGTGGTTGATTTTCTACATATATTCTCATCTATATATTAATTTGAAACTGTTTTTCTTTGTCACAGCTATTTTGAGAGAACGGCTGGGCGTAGAAACTCGGTAGAGGTGTCTAAAGAAAGGTCTTGGTCTGTAGATGAGCCATCAAAAGAGAAACATGGTGAATTCCCTTGGGGCTCTGCCCCTGTGGCCTTTAAATTCCCATCCCATGTTATTCTTATGGAGGGAAACGGGGTTTTTGTCACAGCTAATTTGAGAGAACGACTGGGCGTAGAAACTTGGTAGGGGTCTCTAAAGAAAGGTCTTGGTCTGTAGATGAGCCATCAAAAGAGGAAAGAGGTAAATTCCCTTGGGGCTCTGCCCCAGAAGCCTTTAAGGTTGCCTCTTCAGATGTGTTTACATTACGACCATATGCATAATTCTACACTACCTTTTAACACTTAAAGTGCCTTTGACATGTTTGAACATGAAAATTGCATTTATTTCAATGTTAAGCAATGGCGGGAATTCCCGTCATCAGCACCCAACATGTTAATGCAACAGCTGTTAATATTTAAATTGTGATTTATTGAAGTTGTCAAAATGAAGTACAGTATTTGCAATGGGTTTTTCTGATTGATAAATTGGATTTTCTTCTGCATCGTGTCATGTTTTGCAATATAATGTTCTATTCCCAAATCAGTGGAAAATCCTAATATCACAGTAATTCTTAAAATTATTTCTTTTGGAGTTAACTTATATCTATTGTATGGGTTGGTTTCTGCCTTTTTTACCACTTCTTGGAGATTGTACGTAGGTGATATTCGTTGGCATATTGCATCTGTAGACGAAACTTGGGTTGGTGTAATTATTACAATCGAAAAGAGCGAGAAATCCTGGACAATTTGATATGGGCCAAAAATAAAACTGAATTAACACTGTTATACATTTCTTGAGCAATCATTGAAATAATCGATTTGCAAACAATGGAATCATAGAAAAAGTCATAGAACACAACCAAGTAGAAGAAATAGAAATAATTTTTTTTCATTTATAATCGTTGTCATAGACAACCTAATGCGGCTATGAGAGGGAAAAATTTGTAGAAAACACAAAAAAAACAAGATAAGATTTTTGAAAAAAGATAAGATACTGTATTTACAAAAGATTTTGATTATATCTAACTGTTGTGTAGATCGTGAGTATTTCCATAAGCTTTGAGTCGCCTGTAATGCTTCGAAATTGCTCGAATTCGAGCAACAGGTACACTAGTTTTGTTTTATGAAGAAATACTTAAAATAAGAGCTTATTGATGGTAAAAGTTTATTATTTATTAATTGAAGATTGAGTATAAAGAAGATTAACTATGAAAATTGTGAAAATTTGTTTATGTTTATGTGAGTTATTTTTCCTACCAAATTCCTATTCAGTAATTCAAATGTTAATATCGAATGTTTCAACTTACTATTCGATTGTTAATATCGAATGAAATTATTTGAAATATATTGTATGTTATAACTTGAGTGTTTTTAAACCAATCTAAACCAAATTTGAAAAATACCCTCATTGAATATTAAAGAATGTTTTTGACTTATCTTAAGGGTGGTTTCATCCCTTATTTTGTATTTTATTTATAAAAAATTTAAAAATGATCAGATAATTCTGAAACTTAAAAATTATGAAAAATTATATTTAAAATCAATGTTTTTAGTAAAATTTTCCAATTTAGGGTGAACTACCCTTAAACTAAAAACCTTAATAACTTTTTTGTTTTTTAAGATATTTACATGAAATTTGGTATGGTATATCTATATGATAATTACAAATTTATTAAGTAATGAAACCAAAAATATTCACATCCTGTGACCTTGAAAATCAAAAATTTTTATTTATTAATATTTTTAATGAAACAAATTTTAAATTATTAATATTAGTCTGTTTATTCATAAAATATAATAATACTTTGAAAAAAAAAAATTAGTAGTTGATAAATGATGATTCTATAATAATTTTATTTTATTTTAGTATTTGTAATATCATTTTTAATCACATTATACTCTAATAGTTTTTCAGATACAACAACTACATAGCAATTAGTTTTACTAGCAACAGTTATATCATAATCAAAATCCATATTTATTATTATATCATTTTCGATCCTGAAATATTTACAGTAGTTTTTGTAGTATCAATCACATACAATGGTCTATTTTCAATGAATTCTGTTGGATCATAATACATTTCACTGTTGTTATAATAAACCTTTTTATAATCTTGATACATTTGATATACAATTCTAAATTTTTCATTATTTATATCTAGATTCATTAATTCATCAGGATAATAGTGACCATTTAATTTTACTCTAATATTTTTAATGTACATACTATCAAATTTTGAAGTGTCATATAATTGATCATTAGTTCTACCTTTTTGAAAACCAATTAGGCCTATTATAAAT